CAGGAGGCTTCTCCGCTTGAAAGCCCCCGCTGTACGGCTCTAGGTGCCGCCAGGACTCGCCTGCCCCTGTACCTGGTCATCCTGGTCGCTGTGCTCTGCAGTGCTGTGGTGTTCCTGGTCATCTCTCTCATCGTCTGCATCAGAAAGCCCAAAGACGGTGAGTAGCTTGTTCTGGAAAACCTGACTGTGTTTGTGTGCGCCCGGCTTGGTTTGACCTCTGAGGGTTTGGGGGGTGGTTAATAATTATAAAACACTCCCTTTGCCTTTTCTCCTTTTTCTCTTTGTTTCGTTTTGTTGTTTTTTTTTTAAAGGAATCCAGAACAACCTCTTTCTAAATTGTTCTCTATTGAACTTCTGAATGAACAGGAGAATTGTGGCAGCTGGGACCTTCAGGTTCTTGGGCCAGTCATTCTGAGCCAGTCGTGCTGCACCTGGGGTATGGGTTGTGTTCACTTTCTGGGCGTGAATCCTGGGAACAGGAGTCATCACCCACCTAATACCATCCCTAAGGTTCCTGTTTTTATTCTGTCTTCAGAGGTTGCTTGCTTATATCAAGAAGAGACATAGCAGAATTTCTTTGAGAATATAAATGCAAATTATTGACACGCATTTCTGATTATTCTTTTCCAGCTCAAGTCTATGAAGTAAAATTGTGAGTATATGTATTTTTCTAACGTATTGCTGAGTCTTTGGGGACTGTATCGGAGCAGGAAATAAAGCAGTGCTACTTAGCTGCCAGGACGAAAAGCCTCTCCAGCAGTGTGGACATGGGTGGTGGGTGTGGGCTGCATTCAGTTCACCATTTACTGTTCCTCCACCACTTTACGTGGTTTTTTTATCTGTATTTATCTTGCGAAGAGCAGTTGTCTGGCTGTGCCGTTCCAAGAAATGGTGGTAATCCTTGTGTTGCTTATGTACTTTGTGCTGCCTCTGAAACCTGCCCTGGGTTGGAGGCAATGTTGCTGTAATGTCTGAGGTTCTCCTGCCACCTGGAAGCAAAGGACAAGATTCTCTCCTCCAAAATACTGCCATAATCCAATGGCCCAGGTTTATGTGGCTTTGAATCAGACCACAATCCTGCTCAAAATCTTGATGCTTGGGAGATGCTTTGTCTACTCTGCTTGCAACTCTTTTGGTATTGTATTTTGATTTCAGCCATACCTCGCGAGCAGCAGCTTCAAGGTGTGACAGCACGGGTCATTATGAGGAACCCATCTCTGCCACTGAAAACAACTATGTGATGGAGCCAGTGAAAAACAAAACTTCTGAAGAAATAAATATGAAGAATGAATATGACTGTCTTGGAAACACCCAGGAATCTGTATATGAAGTAGGGGACACTGTGTGAGAGCCAACAGTGCTCTACAGGTAGCAGTCCTGCAGAGTGCCTTCATCCAGGTGAAATTTATCTTCCAATTCATCTATGCCTCTGAAAAATAGGTTGGACAAGCAAATTTTGCTCCTCCAGGATTTGTGGCGCCTTAAGCTCTGCAGTGAGAATGTAAACCTCTTCAGGAACTTCAGTTACAGACTGCTGTGCAGATCTTCTGGGCTTGCTTTGCTTGGTTCCCTTTTACCGCCTCTGCAGAAGAAAACCCTCTGAAAGCTCGGGTATGCAGACCCCAGGGCAAGAGCACTGGACTAAACTTACTGCTTTACATGACCAAAAGGATCTGCGCTCACAGCCTGCGCCTGGTGGGAGTAGAACCAGCACCAGGGGCTGCTCAACATCCCAGCCATCCCCGGGGAAGAAGTGCAGGAGGAGGCTGGCCTGGGAAGCAGTGTTTCTCCCACCCACCTGAAGTGCTGAAGGTGGTTGGATGGCCTTTTAAACGTGAGAGAGCCCTTAAAGAAACGCCAAAAGACAGACTAAAGCCAGGGTAACCCCGAGCACCTTCCCGCACCAGGAGCAGCCGTACCAAGTGTCCCGTGCACTCGTCGTGCCGGATGCCCTAAGCCTTTCCGCAGCACTCGCAACACCGTGCAGACACTTCCTATAGCGCAGGACACCTTGGGCGATTCCAACACTGCCACAAGGCAATTCTGAGTTCCTTCCCTATTCTCTCTTTTAATGCATGTTTAATATTTGAGAGAATTGGGTACTTTTCCATAGGCTTGTGGACCCATGCCTAGTTTATTTTGAAATGAATATTTTTGCACAACTGGCTCATGTTTAAAGTGCCGCCAGCAAGCACTCACAGTCGCAGCTCCTCAGCAGGCAGTCGTGAAGTCCTAGAAGGCCTGAAGGTGAGTAGGGAGCTGAAAAGCTTTGTTGTTCATCATTTCTACTACTGAGTTAATCTATAGCATGGATAGTACAGAGTTACGGAAGAACCTTTTCATAATGAATGATAGGGCAATACCATCTCCAATTAAAAGCCACACGGACAGATGTAAAACCAACCAAGTGATCTGAGGGGCGTTGGGGACGTTGGTGGCACAGATATAGGATTAACGGGCCCCCAGAGTCTCTGCTCCTGCTCAGGAATGGTCTGCATCTCCAGCTCTCTGCAAGCATCAGCTCAAAGTTCACCAGCGTGCAAATAGTGTCAGGTGCTACCAGGAGAGGCGTTACAGCCCAACGGAGAACAGGACGGGGATACTGTAAACCCCATGGAATGCTGAGAGGGGTAGGAAAGTTGCTGAGAGTGATGATAAAGGGTGAGTACTGGCATGAAACCACTCCTGTGCAATGCACTTGAACTTTCTCAGCTTGGGGGAAAAGAGAAGAATGAGGCAAAGTGTGCTCATCATGGCCAGCGTGGAGAAGACAGGGCCTGTTTTCAGAGAATCGGTAAAGAAAAGGAAGCGGACATCAGCCAAAATTATCTGGTAGCACTTCAAAAGGGGGAGGAAAAGCACTTCTTTTTTGCAACACAGAAATAAGCGTGGAACGCGGTGCTACCCATCGAGTGCTGTGAAACCCAAAGTACCCAGCGGTCCGGTGAGACATCAGAGGTGTGAACGATACGAAAGCTCACCAGAACTCTCAAACTACGAGGACACTTCACAGGCGCTGAGCAGTGACCTTGTGCTTGCTCCCTGAATTCCCTGTCCCACAAGTTTTATTTCTCTTAAATGATGTGCTCAAAAATCAAGGGCTGGGAAACCTTGATTTCAGAATGGAAACAGAGAGCAGCTTTTGTTGGGGATGATGTCTTGGAAAAAATTGTCAGCGCGTATGTGCAGCTTATTGCAAATGTGGAGAAGCAAATGGAAACCATTAAACTTCAGGACTGCAGAGTTAGCAGCAGATTTTGTTGTGCTTCTCATTGCCTATAAAAGTGGGGGTGTGTGAATGTCTGTGTGTGCCCAGGAATTGCACTCCTAGGAGCATATTGGGTCCCTCCCTTTGAAAGCAGCGGGATTATTGTGAATCTGCTGGAGTTTGGGCTTTGGTTTGGAAGTTGTCGGGTGGTATTTGTAGGCTGTAGCCAGCTGCAGTTTAGGGAACAGAAGATGCAAGAGTTGCTGCTGGTCCAGTTTGAGGTTCAGAGTGAATGAAGTGAGATGTTGGGGATGTGGAAGAAAAGGAGCTCTATTACGAAGGGTGTTAAAAAAAAAAAAAATCTGCCCAGTCTGCCTCCCTGAGCAGGAGGGTGAGGAGGGGAGGGGAACTCTCGCAATAGTACTGCGAGGCGCGCAGTTATCACCGTAAAGGGTCTTCCAGCGGACAATGGAAAAATCAAGCCTGATTCAGAGGGTGGTTAAAAAAAAAAAAAAAATCTGCCCAGTCTGCCTCCCTGAGCAGGAGGGTGAGGAGGGGAGGGGAACTCTCGCAATAGTACTGCGAGGCGCGCAGTTATCACCGTAAAGGGTCTTCCAGCGGACAATGGAAAAATCATGACTGGACAGCGTGTTAATGTGACGCCAAATCAACGGTGTTGAAATGTGCTGGGAAACTTGTTGTGGTTTCTTAATCTTTCGAGCCTAGATAAGGCTGCAGTTTTTGGAGCCCTGCAGTAATGTTCACAATCTTTAAAAAGGGGTTTTAAAAAAAAAAAAGTGTGTGCATGTATTCGGTAGGGAGGGGGTGGGAAGGGACTGTCACTGTTACTGGAAAGCAGCCCCCCCTCTGAGCTCCATCCCAGAAACAAAATTCTAGCCTTGAAGGCTAAAAACCTTACTCCATCACCAGGAAATTGAGGCAGACCTCTCTAGCCTCCTGCAGGCCGTGTCAAATCATGGGTGTAAGGGGCGGGCTCTGCAGAGCTGGTCCCTAGGAGTAGGGTGTGGGTTCCCATCTGCTCTCATTTTGGGGGAATTGGGGGACTTTACTGTGCCACCTCCAAGGAGCGTGAGGTGTAGTAGTGGAAATTGCAGAATGAAGTCGTACTGGCCACTTTGCCTGAGTGGCAATTCGTGATGAAACGATGCTTGGAAGCATATTGTGCCTGGTGCGTGGAAGGAAAGAGGGTGCCTGCAGGGGGAAAGGCTGCGGGGAGCCTTGCCTGCCCGGCACCGCGAGGGAGGCAGCAGCGGATTCAATCCAAAGCAGAGATGCTGAAATAAATATGCTTTGTTATAATAAACTGGGTATCCAGCCACAATGTCTGAGACACTGAAGGCTTGTTCTTTGTGTGTTCAGGTGCAAAACTATGAGGAGTCCCCCTGTTGAGAAAGAAATGGGCTGACTACGTGAGTCAGGGAAGAGGAAATGAGCAGCTACATCTTGTCCTGGGGAGATGAAGATGTCATGTACCTCACGTTTGAGGAACTGCAGATCTTTGTGTTTGTTTTAGCCAAATAGTCTTTTTTTATCCTGTATAATTACAGCTTCAGGAAGTCTTGCATGTCCGGTTCAGAAAGTAGCCACATCAGCAGTTTTAGCTTGGGGTTTCAGCTTGTTCCAGGGCATGTTCCCCAAAATCCAGCTGCTTTTAAAGTCATTTATGTAGGAGATACAGTTTGTTGGGACGAGCTTCCACTGCCAGTCATGGGCCGGGGTGTGCAAAAGTTGGGTTTAAATCACTTCTCTGAAAATGTGCTCGTATTCACCCTTGCAGTGGCATCGCTTGACTTTTAAGCAGGGCTGGTTTGTTTGCTTTTAGGCAGGACTCACCCATAGCCAATGGCTTCTTGGTGGCGGGGTGGGCAGATGGGGTGCAGGCAGCACCAACCGGTACCACACTGGTAGCGGCAGCAAAGAAGTCAAGAAGAAAAGGCAGCAAAAATCAAATTTGTCTTCCTTGGCAGGATGGCAGCTGGTGGCAGCTCTTAGCCTGGAACCTCATGTGAGTTTGTTGCACCAGGTCTTGCCACGCCGCATTCAGCTTTCTGCTCCAGGCTGCCCATGCTTGCCACAGGCAAGTTTTACTGCAGCAATAAGCAGAGCTGAGCTGAAATCTCATCCAGCAAGCCATCTGAGCATGGACAAGCCTCCAGAGACCTGCCCAGCTCTCATCAGTTTACTGACTTTGGGAAAATGAAGGCACTCCCTGGTTTCCACTGCTGTGTGTGGGGAGGGACCGAGCTGTCATTGACAAATGGCAGCATTGCCAGAAAACGGCCCGCGCTCAGCGGCAAGGTAAGCACGTCAACCAAAGTGATGGGTGTCTGTCGGGTGGGACGTAGCTGATGCGAAACGACACCAATTGCCTTTCCCCCCAGTTCCAACAGAAAGCACCTCCCTGTAGTTCAGACATGTCTGCCTCCTGCAGATGTTGGGGTTTTAATACCTCTTCTCAGCATGTCTTCTGTTAAAACAGAAAAAAGCAGTAAAAGTGTCATCCTAAGTTTTCTGGTCTAAAAGGCTCAGGCTCTTTGGCAAAGAAATTAGGGCGGGTTGTCTTCCTCCCTCCAGTCACAGACTGGCCCACGCGCGGGGCGAAGGGGGCTGCCCTCAGGGAGCCTGTTGCTGCAGAAGTTGGTACGTGCGTGCAGTGGAAGAGCTGGGTGTGTCAGCAGGAGAAGACACGAAGGAAATGGCATTGGGAATCAACGCTTTGGTCTCTGCCTTATGCTCCTGCGTGGTGCTCGGTGAGTCGGTGCACACAGACCTGTGCTTTTCCATTCCTGGATGCCCAGATCTGAGCCGTCGCGGTAGGATGGAGGGAGACACTGGATGCTGCTGAGCGACACTGTCACGCACGAGTCAGAGGGAGCTGGATCCGTGCTTTGCAAGCATCCTCACGTGTGCTTTCCCTTGCTACCGCGCGCTTGACTGTGCAGTCACCATAAAGCTCTTCCACGGTGAAGTGAAGGCAAGTGTGGAAGAAAAGAAAGAAAAAGAAGGAAAAAAAGAAAGAAAAAAGAAACACACAGTTATGGAAAATAATAAAAAGGAGCACGAGTGGGAAAGGTCAGGAGAATGGTAAGGGCAGTGGGTGGGGACTAGGGAATACGAAATGGAACTGGAAAGATCCTTATAGTCCTTGTCCATCCTTCACCCATCACCTAAGTCAGCAGCAAAGCGGACTCGTGATATTTCAGAAAGAGGATCCTAGATGACAAGGGACGGAAGAAAGGGAAGTGTTCTTCACTTGCATTCTGGTCCCAGGATTGTGGGGGTCTCTCGCACAGTGCAGGGGAAGGAGACCAGACCGGCCGCTCTGGGAGAATGGGAGCAGTTGTGCGGATAGCGGCGCTTGTGGGGGCCTTCATCAGCTGCAACGGTGAGTGAATGCTTCAGCACGAGTACTAAGAGGGCAGAGAAAACCTTTTGAATTACAGTGTCTCAATTTTTAAAAATTGTCAGGTGTGGAAAGTCTTTAGTTTCTTGTTTGAAAAACGGAGCCTGAGAATTCACAAGAGCTGCCTTTGGTATCGGGTAGAACCAGGGGCTTTTGAGTGGAGCCACTGGGGCAGCATTGAGCAAAAGGCCGGCGCCCAGGCCCCAAAGCAGGAGCAAACCGGGAGTGCTCAGGACCCTTGGAGGGGACCTGCTCTGGCGTGTGAGCTTCCACAGCAGTCTTGGTGAAGCTAGAGTGTGCGTTCTTCTGGAATGCAATAAGGCACCACTGTTGCTCTGCTTTGCTCAATCCTGGGGAGCTGTGAGATGAGGTGTGGGCACACACAGGATTCCCCGTGGTCTCTCCTGATCTGCTGCCTCCCTGGGTGCATTAGGAGAGGTGACACTGGGACCTTTGCTTGCCCGTGAGGCATGCGTGCCGCTCCCAGGGCACATACGACACTGACACGGGCAGAGGAAGGCTTTGGGAAACAGGAGGAAGGTGCTTTAACAAGCTGCATACAGAAGCACAGAATTTCTCCTAATGTTTAGGAAAATGGGTTGAAGTACGTTCCCCATTTCATCACAAAAACCAGCTTTGCAGGTTTCTGGGATCTGCCCCTCAAGTGACTGATTGCGAGTTAATGCAGCTGAACGTAACCAGGGCCTTTCTGGGGAGCAGGGGAAAGGGGGAGCGGGATAAGGGGCTGTGGGCAGGGGTGAGCCAAGTCCAGCTAAATTCAGGTAGTTTGCTGCTTATAAGAGGCACTTCCCAGGGAGCTGAGGTCTCAGTGGGCAGGCAGCTGGGGAGACTGGGAGAATCAGCCACAAAATCCGCCACCTCCTCTCCTGTGCCCGCTCGAGCGCTTGGCAGGGTGCTGATCTGGTTGAAGCGGTACGATGCAAGAAACCTAGGTCAGATCTGAAGTCCTCTAAGGCTAAAACAAAAAGATGGGGTTTGGTCCACCACTCCAGGACCAGTACTGCAGAACAGATCCCTAAAGGCTCCTGCCTGCAGGGCGCTTCCACGCCACCAGGACAGCTGGGGCTGGCAGGCTAGGAAGGAAGATGCTCAACACTTTTAGCAAATGGGTTTGTCTGGAAGACTACATCCCACTTTAAGAAGTGTCACTGGGAGGAAATTCTCCTTTTAAACATGCTGTCTCAGGGGGGTTTATTCTGCTGAGCCTCTCCCATTCCTTCCAGTCAGCTCCCCTGTAGAGTCATCCCTGCTGATGTTGAAATCGGCCATGTAGCAAGTCCGTCTGTCCCCGGGGAATCGGCAGATGCTGGCAGCTGTTTCATGGCACAGAGCAATGCAAAACAGTGCAGGAGAGATGTTTAAAACAAAATTGTGTCCAGATGAATACACTGGACAGCAAACATACTTGAACCCGAGTGCACCAGGTGCCCTGAGGGTATTTCTGAGCAGTTTTCTGGATAGCTTCCACCCTTCCTAGTTTTTCTTGGTGGGAGTCTGGGAAAAAAGGAAGAGAAATGGAAAACCTTTAAAAACTGATACATCAAGGAGTTGCATTTGGCTGGGATGTGAGATTTGAAGAATGGAGGGGTGCCTGCCCTCTCAAAGTCAGCTGGCAAAGGAAAACCAAAGCTCCACATCTGAAACAAGCTTCCACTATGCGCAGCCCCAGCAGCCCCTCGGCCGCCCCCGTGGACATAGATCCATGGATGCTCGCCTCCCCCCAGCTGGCACCTCCCTCCCGTTAGCTCCAGGACATGGGGAAGTGCTCTCCCTGCCCAGCTGTACCGCAGGGTCCCGCGAGCGCCAGGGAAGTTGCAAAAAAAGGTGACGTCAGTGATTGCAAACGCGCCGCGTTCTGTCTCCGTTGCAGTGAAGCAGTGAACGCGCTTTGCTCACCCTTCCTCCCATGCAGAAGGTAGAAGTCACCACTGCAAGTGGTGGTGCCAGCACATCCCATGTTCGGGGGGAGGCCCGTGCTGTTTGACTCATGGCGTGCAAGCGTAAGCAGAAAGCCGAGCTGCAGAAGTAGGGTGTAAAGGCTGGTGCTGGAGAGCGGGAGTAGGAGATGCTCCTTCAGGTCTCGCGAAGACTGCAGCCATGATGCTGCCAGCAGGAGCAGGACTTGTGCCTCTCCGTACTGAGGAGGAATCGAGAACTGGCAAGTGTCCAGAGAGAAACAACAGAAATAGCCATGAGGTTGAAGAACTGCTCCCTTCCCCATGCCCAGTGAAGCAGGGACAGGCCCTGGGTGAGCCGGCTGTGGTCTGCAGCGCATCTAAGACGCGGCTGCACGCTGGCTTTCACTGCCTGGTGATTCCCGCCTAGCCTAAGCACGCTCTCCTCTTCTGCTGTGTTCTTATTTCCTCCCTTTGACTGTTGTTCCCCGCAGCCCTCCTGGATCTGTCTGGTATCCACCAGGTTAAGGGCACGTGGATGGGATCCACCACTTTACCGTGTACCTACCTGCCCTCAGAAGGTTTCACACAGCAAACACTCATCTGGAGCATGGAGCGAGACTACGGCACCTCTGCTATCTTCCGGAGAGACGAGTCCGGTGACCATGTCTTGCTATCTCAGTTCCGAGACCGGGTCAGCGTCCCAAAGCACAGCCCAGGGAACGCCTCGCTCCTAATCGAGAGCCTTGAAATCCCCGACAGCGGACACTACACTTGTTGAGTCACCTGGAGGTCTACAAATAACAGCTTGATAACAAAGGAGGTGACCACTACGGTTAAAGTTGTCAAAGGTAAGTCCAGCAACAAGGCCCTGCTCTCATGCAGCCAGGCCAACCCGCAGAGCACGCAGGAGAAGCAGCAGCTGGTAGGAATGCTCTTTCACACCACGCTGCCCACCCACCTCCAGGCTGGGGGCTGAGGCATCCTCCTCCCTTGCTGTGCTAGCCCTTCTCCACTCGTGGAGTTGCAGGGACGGACTGGGGAGGGGGGATCAGTTAGTATAGACCCAGTCTGGATCTACCGATGGGCCACCTGAGCCCGTGGTGCTTGAGATAACATCCAGATCTGGTTTCGGTTTTGTGCAGGTAGCCAGCATCTCTCTGGTTCTGGTAGCAAGCAGGACAGCAAGTGGGTGTCGTACCAGCCAAATCTGCCTTCTCCCCTTCCCGAGCGTCCTTGGAGCACACTAGCAAGAACTGTCTTTCTGCAAGGGGGCATCCACTCCACGGAGCAGGATTTGTGTCATGTGGCAGTAGCAGTGGGTGGCGTAGCTGGTGTAAACCAGGCACAGCTAAACTGAGCTTAACCTGTGCAGAGAGGTGCCGTGAGAGCGGTGCCCCTCTTCCTCCTGGGAAAGCACTGAAAGCCGGAGCAAGAACTGCCCGGGGGTGGGGGGGACCTTCCCCACCACAGCCAGGGCCAGCGTGACCCGGGCCCCATCCACTTTGTCTTCCAGTTGCAGTGACCAAGCCCGTCATCAGGGCCGGCGAGCTGGGGCTGAAGAGGCCCAGCCTGCCGTGGGGGGCCAGCGGGCCCCCCCCCATCAGCTACCGCTGGTTCAGGAGCGCCCCGGGAGGGAAAGCCCTGCTCCTGAGCAGCCAGGCCGAGCTAAGGTGGGACAGCCTCCAGCCCTCCGACGCCGGGAAGTACTACTGTGAGGCAGCGAACAGGGCTGGGGCCGGGGCTGCGCAGCGGAGCGACGCCGTGGAGCTGACGGTGGGAGGTGAGTCCCCAGCCTAGAGCTCCTCATCCCCGCCGCGCAGGACTGAGGCAGGGAGCTCCTCTCTCATAGTGGGATCAGACACGCAATGCTGAACATGAATTGTGTCTTGATTGCCACCCAGACAAGAAACCACAGGGGCTGGCATCCTCCCTCCTTCAGAGCGTGCCTGGTCACGGCAGGGGTCAGGAAAATGTCCCCTGTGTCCCTCTGGGATGCAGACTGTGCAGGATGGGACCCTGGCTCCTGCCCTTGGCATGTCTTGCTCTTACCCGGCTTGTACTGCAGAGAAGGCGTGGGGGAAACAGCCTGAGGACCCTGTCTCTCCCGCAGAGTCCCCAGTCACACAGCAGCCCAGCCCTGAGACCAGCAGGCACAGCAGACCCCCGCTTACCCCCCGAGCCGATGTGCCCCGGCAAGGGCCCACGGGTGAGTGGCCTGGGCCGCAGGGGAGGGGCTGCTTTCGCCCTGGCACTCTGCGAGTGATGGAGAGAGTGGGCAGGACAACCCTGCTTGATGTTCCCTTCGGGCTGCAGGTCCTCTTTGCAGGCGGGATAGAAACAGTCCCCCCCGGGCGCAGGTAGCTGGGTCGGTGCCCCCCCGGACAGCAGCAGAGCCAGTGCAGGAGGGAGCACAGGCTGGAGGTGAACCAGCCCAGACCTGCCAGGGTATCGCTACGGGAGAGAAGGGGCGAGAAAGCCCTGTCGAACCCTGGAGGAGTCCCAGCAAGACAAAGCTGAAGCATTCCCTGGCCATGCTGTAGCCAGCCACAAGCGCTGGTGCCTAGAGACGGGCCATGTTGGCCAGCAGGGCTACCAGGGACCTGGCTGGGGAGGGGGGACACAAGTGCCACCCGCTGCCTGCAAGCCTGCTGGCAGAACACGCACAGGACGACACATCGGAGATAAAAATCTGGCTTGTCACTCCAAGAGCAGGTCCAGTGGGTGTTTTTCTTCCGTCCACCTCAGAGATGTCAGACTGAGAGAATCCAAGCGGTGTGCTCGGCAGCACGGGGCAGGCAGCCCCAGGGCAGCAGCTACGTCCAGCGCCCGAGAGCTGTGCTGGCGAGCCCCCAGCCCTGGGCAGCCGGACGGGCTCACGGGCGAGCGGAGATCGCTGCTGCCCCGCTGCTCCTTCGCAGAGCAAACCCAGCTCTCCCGCCACCGCAGGGCAGCTCTGGGAAGAGTGACATCGCATTTGCCCTTGTGCTTTGGCAGATCTGCCCCCAGCAACGCTGATCTCCGGGAGGGATGCTGTCTCGGAGGGGTCCCCCATCTCCACGGGTGAGTGGAGTTCGTGCTGGAAAACACAAGGTTTGCACTGGCCAGGGCAGGCTGGCGACTGCGGGCTGTAGCCCCAACGCCAGAC